TGTTCCTCCCACGCTCTTCTGGGGAGCTAAGAAAATGTTTATCTCCCTGAGCCTGGCCTTCATAATTCCATTCCATCACAATAGGCAGCTTTACCCCACCGGGGCCTTACCCTACAAAAGTGTGGGTGTGTAGGAGAAAAGGAGAAGACCACAGGCAGACAAGGAAGTGGGAAGCGACGTCTGGAATGTACGATGATTGCAGGCAAGCAAGAGAGCTATCGGCCCGTGGCCAGGACCACAAGCTACGGTAAGCAGCCCATTGTGGTGGGATTCCTGCCTGGAGTTTGGTTTAGAGCTTGGCCTAGAGCTAAGGCAGCCCCTCATCCCAACCAGGAGCTTGTGGAGGGAGGCAAAGGTTCCACTTGACAGACTTTGAGACTTTCGTTTGTTTTAAGGACTGAGTATTCAAGACGTATTTACATGGCTACATCAACTTGCAAAGCCTAGGAGGATGGAGTTAAGCCAGAGCAACAGCCTATTGTTGCAGAAAGCATGTGCCCCAATAAAGCATTGTGTACAGTTAGCTGCTATGCCATGGTGTGTCCAGTCCTTGGAAAGCAAAGAACCCTCACAAGGGATGATCGCGGGGGGTTCCAAGACTGCAGAGCATCCCCCAGACACCAGCAGATGGAGGAAGAAAAGGCAAAGATGGCTGCCGAAGGGCAAATGGAAGAACATGAGACAGAGGACGAAACTGAAAGCAAGCTTGACCTGGTAGAACATGGGCCAGTATTATGAAGGAAATGCTTCAACAAGAGCGGGAAGAGTGTGCACATCTCTTCAGAAGAGAGGAAAAAGAAAAGAAATGGCGAGAAGAGATTGCCTAGAAAGAGAAAGGAAGGAGAGAGGAGGGCTAATTTCCAAGGGGTGAGTTTAGAGAGCTCATTTCCCTTCTCAAGAACACAGACGCCGCTAGGCAGGAGTCTCCAGTTTTGGCTAGCTCTACTCCTAGTATAGGAGGTGGTGTAGGTCCCTGTTAGGGATACAAAAGCCCATAAATTTAGTTAGGATGAGGACATGGAAGCACTTTTCTCTATGTTTGAATATGTGGCAGCATCATGTAAATGGCCAAGGGAGGACCAGGTGGCTGAGTTAGCCTTATGTTTGACAGGAAAGCCTCTAAGGGCGTATACAGGTCTCTCTGTTCAAGAGGTAGAAGATTACAAGAAAGTAAAGGAGGTGATCCTCTACCCTGATGAAGTTATGAAATACACTTACAGGCAGAGATTCCAGGAATGTAAGTACCAGGAACAGGAAGGAATGAGAGAACTTTGGGCAAAGCTGGCAGAGTTAGCTAGAAAATGGTTACAGCCAGAGGGACATAGAGTGGAGGAAATGATGGAGGAAATTGCTTTGGAACAGTTCCTGCAGGCCCTGCCTGGTCCTGTTTGGTTTTGAGTGCAAGAACATCACCCAGATGAAGGGATTAAGGCAGTGTCCCTAGCTGAAGACTACCTTGCAACCAGAAGAGCTGAGGAAGCTAGAAGAGGACATGGAGAGGTTGGAAAAGGGAAGAAAAACGCTGAGACTGAAAAAGAAGGTATATAAGGGAAGGCATCTTTCTTCCAGACTAAGGGAGATGGAACAAATAAAGGGCAGGCTAGATCCTGTTGTAAATGTGGCAAGGCAGGAGACTTAGCTAAAGATCGTCGAAATCGCGAAGGACAGGGACCTTTCTCAGCCATGTTGAAAGCCCCCAGTGGGTCAGAAATAATACAAACTAAGGTCAATGGAATTCCTGTTAGTTGGTGAATTTTCAACCTGGGATTCCTGGTTCACACTCAGCTTATCTCACTACAATGAGGTAAGAGGCCAGCTCTTCCAAATATGAGTTTCTGTGGAAGTCTTAGGTGGGTTCACATGTCATACTAAGCCAAGGCACCATAATATGCTTAAAGGCAATATGTGAACCCATCTTGCAGAACAAGTAGCAAAGATGTGATTCTGAACTAGATTAATTGGCATTTAAAATGGGGGTTATTCTCTACCTCCTTAAAGAAAGAGGGCTTGAGAGGAAGCCATGGTGCTTTTGCTCTCTTTCTGAGCCAGTAAGGAAGGATTTAGTGCAGATGCCATAATTAATTAGGTTATAAACCAAAAGATAGTTCTGTATTACTCAACATTTATGAACTCAATGGCCCAACTAATTAGAAAATAGTATTTCCCAACTTACTTGAAATGAAAATTGCATGAGCAAAACAACAGGGAAAAGGCATCCAGGATCACTGTATTAGTAAGGTCAGGAAACATACATTTTTGTGAGTAGAGATCAGAGTTTGCTGTGTCTATTAACCCAGCCTCATCAATTTTCTTGCAAAAAGTTCTTATTCTGATCAATGAAGAGAAAGGTTTTCAACCTTCTCTTGAATTATTTATGTCCCTGGAGCCTTTTTTCTGAAATGCATCTTTGCAGAGAACTAGAATAGATGAAAACCGAGATAGTTACACTGCCCTAGTTTAGTCAGGAAATAGACCTCTTTGTCTCCTTCCGAGGATTAGACCTGAAACCTTAAGCTGGACTAAGTTTTGGAAAGTAGCCATTGTTTGAAGAAGTCAAGACTTGCTTCAATGAAACTTCACCCTGGTCAGCCTAAGATCAGCAATCTTAGTCTTCAGCAAAACCTGTTGGAAATTTCAAAGGCAACCTGCACTGATTGATTTTATGCGCAAACCAGCAGAGGTGGGCTACCTTGATGGCTTTCTCTGTGGCTGATCTCTGAAAGGCTGGGCTGCGTTGCTATGAGTTGGTCTGCGACCTGGTGAAGAGAAAACAAGAGGGTGAGTGGGCAGATGAGAGTGCCCCTGCCCTCCTGAAGGCTTCTGCATTCTTGGTGAAGCCAGCCTAATGCCATATCTGGCCCAAAAGGGAACACTTGTACACACCCTATTTTTTCTGCCTGCAGGGCCTTCCAGCCAATTCTTACTTAGGCCAAGAATTCTGCCAACCCTGACCTCAAGTGGTGATGTCACCACAATTGTGGCATCATGGCCTGTGTGCAGCCAAGCATAAATTGCTGGGAAAAAACTGGGGCAGCTGACATTCGGAATGGGAGCATCCATCTTTACTGTATTTTTCACAGGTATGACATACAGCCAACGAGTGGATAAGATCCCTGGGCCCAGTTTTGAGTCTCTACTCAACCACAGAGCTCACTGGGCGGACTTGGACACTCCTCCTTAGCTTAACCTCTGTCACATGGTTGTTGCAGGGATAAAATTAGGGCTGACCCTTATGCACGCCATATTGAGCTCCTAGAAGAAAGGCAGGATATAAATGCAATAAATACATACAGGTCTATATTTCTAAAAAAAATTGCTGCATGTTATAGCAGCCAGCAAATCATTCCTAATGTTCCTGCTGGTCTGTCTTGAACAAAACTATGGATGCTTGTATCTAAATGATGAACAAATCACAGGAATTATATTACGTCAGAACTTTTTTTTTTGGCATAATGCATAAAAGTTGGTCACGTATTCAGTTGGTGTCTTGATTCTAAAATCTGCTCCATTCTGGAAGATTTGATTAGCAGGAATGACAGAACCATGCATCTTGCTCACATTCTTGATTGCAGAACTATAAGAAACACGTCTGTAAACAGAGGCCGTGGCCTCCAGTAACCTGACTAGTTCATTGAAGTCCAGCTGCAGGCAGATGAGAGAGAAAATGCTGTGGGAAGGCTGCCTGGATAAGCAAGGGAGCTTTAGAAGGGGGCGGTTTCTGCTTTTGGGGTTACTGTATTACTCTCTTTTGCGTGTCTTTTTCTGTCTTTCTTTTAGGATGTTTTCACATTCCCTCAAAATCAAAGTACTCATCCAGGTTTGGTTTCTCTGACCTTTTTTTGGGGGGGTGAGTACAAGCTATTTCCTATCCTTTTTTTCAAAAGCTGCTGGGCCACCTCAGTTTGATTTAAATTTAGTTTGGGTTTGGGTGCTACCCAGCTGACAAGGGAACAGTCATCTGTTACAGGGAAGCCCTGAGGAAGGCTGCAAAGGACTGGGACACTGGAAAGAATGCCTCATATTCTCCACGTGTCGAGATTTCCTTCCTGCCTTCTCTAAAGACTCAGGGAAGACCACCCAGAATTTAGTGCAGTCCTCATGACAATCCTTAGTTTTGATCAGTCTTAGCTCTCTCATGCTGAGGCTGCTACTCCATAGGAGAGTGTTTCTATGCTGGGGAAAAATGTACCATTACAGCATCCAGGACTGAAAGCTGCAGAGCGTACGTGTTGCCCTGGTTTAGTGCACTGGAACAGCAAGAAAAACACACAAGTCATGTCAACTACACACAGGGATTTTTCACTCAATCGTCTTCTCCCCATTCCATTATAGGTTGGATGGACAGCCCACACGGACCAAGGCTCAAAGACCTCCTTGAAGCACGTAGGAGGGATGACCTACTTATCTCCGGTTTGATAGCCAATTAACCCATGATCTTAAGCCAGTGTTTCTCAGCCTTGGCAACTTTTTTGGCTGGGGAATTTTGGGAGTTGAAGTCCACACATCTTAAAGTTGCCAAGACTGAGAAACACAGGTGTAAGCAATGGTAGCTGAGAATTTTGCAGGCCAAAAGACCTGCTGTTGAGTCAGAAGTCTTTCACATCATTTCCTCTTCTTACCATCCCATCACTTAAATTTTCTCTGCTCAGCTATAATCCAACTTGGACCTGACCAGAACTTAATTCAAGATACTCCTTGGAACTAGCTCTCATTGCAGGCAGAATCCAGCCTTTCCCATAAGTAAATGACAGATACTAGTACTTTGCTCTGAGAGGCATCATCTTTTATTTCAAGATAAAAGTTCACTGGGTAATCTCCCCCCCCCCGCCGCCCTTAATAAAATCAGGTGTCCCTCTAAATTCAGGATCCACAACCTGCCTGCTCCCATCCCATCCATCAATGAGAGAGGGCAAATGTTACAGGTGAAAAGCACCCAACTGCACCCTCATCTCAGACCCCACAGCAACACAATGCTACACTCTGATGTTACAAAATAGAAGTAAAAAAAAAAACAACAACCAGAAAAAGACCCCCCTCCCTAGCTATTGCTACATGCACTGGAAATGGTCTTCAATCAAAAAGAAAAAGAGGGCTTCTTGGACCTGGCCTTCAGTGCTGGCATCCACCTTCAGCAGGGATAAAAAGAGAGCAAAGGCTCCCCCTCTCTCCCAGCTGTGCTTCCCCATTCCTGCAACGCAACTCCTGTTCACCTGCTCCTTTAGGGTCCAGCACAACTGGCTGAGAGCACTCTGGGCAATGGTTGTCCGGAGGTGGCTATTCTGTCGTGCCCCAGGAAAGCACCCGCAGGCTCTGAATGGGCTGCCTGCAGGGTTACCTCAGGCACAGCTTCTGGCTTAGAAGCACAATGACTGCCAGGCTGGTTCAGATCACTGACAAGGGGGGAGACAGAGGGGTGGCCTATTCCAGATTTGTGGGCAGAAGAGTACTGACCCCAGCAGGGCTATAAACTGAAATAGTCAAGACTGTTGTGGCGGCAAAGGTTTGTGGTCCAGATGGCGTCTCCCCGGTTTGCACTCAGCAGCATCTGCTGCAGTTCGTTGCTGACCCGGGAGAACTTCTCCTCATCCACCGAGCCATTGAGCAAGTTGGAAGAGGTGGGGGGCCAGGGCAAGTCGTCTCCGTAGCAGTCCACAGGGTAGGGGTAGATGACGAGCTGCAAGTCCAAGAGGCCCACAGTCTTATGGAGCAGGTTCTTCACCCCCTTGGCTGAGATGGGGTTGCCAAACACGCCCAGGTAGCGAAGCCGGGTGCAGCGGCAGAGTGCGGGGAGGAGCAGATTCAGGTGGGTATCCATCAGGCGGCACTCCATGATGTCCAGGTGGAGCAAGGTTGAGGCCGCCTCAGTCAGCAGACCCTGGAAAGGCTGGAGAAGGCTGTCGGACAGGTTGTTCCCACTGAGGTCTAGCTTCTTCAGGGCCGAGGTGTGGAGGCTTTGGGAAAGGTAGGCAAAGTCATTGGGCAGCAGGTAGCAAAAGGCCAGCTCCAGGCTCTCCAAGGGGCTTTGCAAGTCCCTGCAGAGACAGCAAGAGAAAAGGCCACTTACGGACCGGCAGGGCACCCCTTGTGCTCTCCTGGTGCTTTAACACAGGGCTATGCAGCAGTTTCTGGGGGAGAAACACCCTCAGCCCTACAGCCAGGCATCAGCGATACATTCCCAAGAGGAACAGGCGGGGCCAGGATGCAAAAGAAATTTTGATTTATTACATTTGCCTAGGAACATATGCTTAAGAGGATATAATTAATAAATCCAATAATGAATTTCATTTTTTTCTCTCCCCTTTGGTCACGCTGAAAATTACAATTTGATACAGGTAGTCCTCACTTAACGACCACATGATTTGCTTAACAACCATTGTAAAAAAGGTTGCAAATCGTGATTATGTGACTGTGGGTTGGTATGATGGTTTGTGATGTCATAAGTGCAAGTACAGGTTGTAAAACACTTTTCCCGAGACCATCGTAACCTCAAACCATTGTTAAATGAACGGTTGTTAAGTGAGGACTATCTGTAACATGTCCTGAAAATCTCTGAGGCTTCATCAAAGGTTTTCAAGGGCCACACCTATGCCAAGACCTGAGATTGTGCAGCTCCAATTTAATGGGTCTTTTAAGAAGCAAAAGGCAGTACAGGAGAGAATTAAACAACAAGGCAAAGCTACATTTTAAGCCCCACAAACACCTGCCATAATACAAACTTAAACAGCAAGCCTATACCTATCAGCTCCTTCTCTGCTCCCCACAGGTAACCTGCCCCAGAAAGGAATTACGCTGCCACAGAGAAGACCCTATCCAGGTTTCCTTCCAACCTAACCTCACTGGGGACCCAGAAGAAGGCACCTGAATCAGATCTTAATGTTCCATCTCATACAAAGGATGGGAAGTCTTCTGAACTTCCAGCCAAACCATTTAGGACTTTGTAAGTCAGCATCAGCACCTTGAATTGTGTTGGAAACAAGCTCAGAGAACCAGTGCTCTAAGCTGAGCTCAAAGCGCACATCAGAAAGTAAACCAAAAAGTGTAGTTTGCATAAGCTACTGTTTTCAAATGCTCTTTGAGGTCGGTCCCACAGGCAGCGATTGCTAAATGGGGGATTATTATGGGATGCATGTTAAGGAAGCAGCACAACTGGGTAAAAGTATTCCGAATCCTGACAGTACTTAGATGAGGGTCTCCTTCTGAGGACTGAAAAAACAATCCCACTTTTAAACCGACTGATGTATGGCATCAGTCAACCCAGATCCATGCTGGGCCATCTAGAAATACCCTTATGTTCTCTCAGCATTCAGATGTATCACCTCATGCTGTTCTTGTGTCTGAATTTACACCAGCCCACAGATTTGGTCTGGCAACCTCCTGAAAACTATGGACATCAAAAATCACCAATAAGGAAGGGAGCTTGCAATTTGTCCCATAGCAAATGTTCCACCTGAGAGAGGAAGCTCAGAGATGAACAAGTGGAAATCAAAAAGCACTTGAGCAACACAGGTGGCCTATTCTGCATTTGGACCTTTGAACCAGGGTGTGGATGCTTTGCTAAAATCAGTAAATCTGCACTCCCTTTCTCTGCCCCACACACAGACCCAACTCTTCTCGAATCTCTTACCCTAGGAGTTGCCGTAGTTTGCCCGAAAGCCTGGAGGAGCCCAGGTTCAGCTCTTTGAGGCAGCTGAGACGGCTGAGCTGGGTGGCAAAGTACTGCAGGTTGCCTTCCATGCCCACTGTTAGACGCCGGACATCAATGTTGCTGTAGGGCAGCTTCAGGCTCGCCAGGTTGGTGAACTTAGTCAAGTGCGGGAGGACCACTCTCAGGCCAGAGAGCCCAAGGTTGTTGAACCTCAGGTCCACCTGCCGGACCCCAGCTGGGTCCAGGAACTCCAAGAGTCCCACGGTGCTGGCAATGGAGAGCTCCTCTGCCCGGAAGTCCCGACACCGCAGCCGCAGCGCGTTGCTGCTGTTGATCTGCAGGGCATCCTTCAGGACCACGTAGGAAGTGCTGTTCACAAAAAGGTCCACCCAAACGTCCACAGAAACAGGCTGAGGTGCTGGCAAGGCCACTGAGCTGCTGTATGGGCCCTTCCTCCTCTTGGAGGACCGCTTCAGGCACTTGCTTTGCTGCTTGGAGACGTCCAGGCAAGCCTTGGCCAGCGTGACCGTCCTGGACCACAGGCTCATGCTCTCCGGGCCCTGCCCTTCATCCTGGAGGCCGGTCATATCAAGGATCTGTAAGTACTGCCCCTTGCTGCCAGAGAAGTGAAATAATCAAAGCTATTAAAGCAGCAGCAGCAGCAGCAACTACCAGAATACCTTCAGCTGACCCCTGGGTTGGCTGGCTTGCCTTCCTAGAGATCCCCGTTTGCACAAGCCTACAAAATTTTTCCTTTGCTGCGATGGAACTAAAAAGGATCACAGCAAAGGAAAAATCCAACTCCATAAATACCCCTGTAAATTCCTAAATTATTAGTTATTTAAACAATGAAATAATGAATTTAAATTAAAAAAAAAAGAAAAATACAACTGCATGTTCTTAGATTCTGGCAGGATTCTTCTTGAACTGCGCCCTTTGGACAGCTGGATTTTCTGCTCTATGGCACCAGCAGGATAGATATGATGCACAGAAATCTGGACACTTTTTTGAAAATGGGATGGCCTGGAAGAAAGGAGAACAATGGGGTAGTAAACTGGGGCTCCCTGACTGTCCCTGAACTCCAGTTCCTGAGGTCCAATATGACCGCTGCTAGGGGGCCAAGAACTGTAGCTTGTCAGAATCTGGAAGGGCCATGGCCAAATTCGCAGCTAGATCAGATACAGTAGCATGCGAATTCAGATCAAATCACACTCAATGAATACTCTGCCAATAAAAAAAATGATCAAATTCTTCAAAACTTTTCTATTTTGCTGGTGGATTTTTCAATTTTTAGTGGCAATTGCTATATCTACTAATATTGCTGTACCTGTTTTAAAATTACTACTTTCATTCAAAAATAGTATTAGTTTAGGCACTGTTTATCAATAAAACCACTGTTTTTTCCAGTTGGAAGTGTGACTATGGCCTGGGCACTGGTCATGTTTTATCCTCTTGCCTTCTGGACTACACCTGGACTTGGATTAGACCACCAACTTAATGGGAACTGGATATAAACAGCAGCAAAGAGAGTGGCTCATCCTAACCAACTGATTACAAGGGACATTATCATGATGATGGAATCGCTGGATTTAGTGCCCCACTTTCTCAAGTCAAGTTTGATTCCTTTGTGCCCACTAGTGATTATACTGGATTGCTCCCTTAACAGTGATCTTTGCTAAAATTATTCCAGCCTTCCCTGGAGGCTAATAGCTTTACTACTGGATAGCATTATTATGCACCGCTTGGTATGCTCAGCATCTACAGAGATACGGGGTGGGGACTGGGCAAATAAAATGAACATAAGGTGCATGAAACCAACGTGCATCTTCACATGCAAAGGTTTTAACACCATTGTGTAGGAAACATAAAGAATGAAGAATGACCTTCCAGACAGATAGAGGGTCACGATCTTAGAAATGCTGGAGAGAAGCTTAAGTTTGTGATAGAAGTACAGCCTAAAATGAAAAAGCCAGGCTAGATGTACCACAGATCAGAAATTTTAGGGAATCCTGGTTTTAATATTCTCTGGTCTCAGTGAAGATGCATCTACTCCCCATCTCACTTAGGAAGACAAAAGAACTAGGGATGCACATACCTCTTACTACAGGTTCGATCCTCCAGCATCTTAATGAGATATGTCACTACGCCCAAAATAATGGCCTGAATGCACAACTTGTTTGGTTTCTCCCGGATCAGGGCCCGTTCACAATGCTGACATTTCCGCAGGAGTTTCTGGAAACTGAGGACTGGGAATGGCCAGGTCTGCACTAACTGCTGGAGTGAGGGCGTTCTCTTGTCCATGAAGGCAGCCTTGAACAGGACAGGATAGAGCTCCTTCGGGAGGAAATCCAGGGCATCTTGCAGGGTAGTGTAGTGGGAGACAACCTTCTGAGCACAGAGGAAGACCAGGGAGTACATAGCACCGGCTGGATGGGGAGCGAGCCGGAGGGTCACTATGGAAAAGAATAATTTTACTAGGCAATTTTTCTCCAGTCTACCTCAAAACGTCCATCTAGGTTTTCAAAACTTCCTAGTGACTTTAGTCTTGAAAACATTTGATGAGAAAGTGACACGCATAGTGCACTTTATAAACAAAAACAACAAAATTCCTGCAAAGGCAACAACCATTATTTGTCAACTGCTGCCAAAAAGCCCACATCTTGAGGCACCTTAACAACTAGTACATGGATTATTGCATCAGCTTTCTGGACTACTGTTTAGTTCATCAAATATATGGATCCAATTAAGTGCTCTGCAGTCTGTGAAAGCCTATACTGAAGGACCAGGTTAGGGGCAGACCGTCATGGAGAAAATCTATCTACTGTACAGTAGGTGGTCACTAAGAACTGACCCCGACTTGATGGCACATAATCCATCAATCAATTAATCTTGAAAGGGCCACAAGCCTCATTGTTAAAGTTAAGAAAGGGCTTGAACCCGGTATTTCAATCACGTTCCACTGGCTGTAACAGAAGAACAAGCATGTGAAATCACTGCCTAGTTAAGTTTAGATTACATGCCTTCTTGGTCCTCCAAGGGATGGAATGCTACGTTGGATGATCCCCCTTTGAAGACTTACAGGTCTTGGAAGTTTCTTGATGTCTTGGGATGGGAGAGGGATTTTTCCTCCCACAGATACTACCAGCTGTTCCAATGAGACATGAAACTCTCTCTGGAGAGAGGTGAGCTCAGGCACTGTAGCCAAAGAGCAGACTCAGCACCTTCCAACTCTAAGGACTGCTGCTGCTGCTGCTGCTGCTGCTGAGGGACAGTTTCTTCTGACTTGGTCTACAGAGCTATCCAAAATGAGTTGACTTCCTCATGAGATGTAGCTTTTTATACTGTATCTTCTTCAAAACGCTTCTCTTCGGATTCATCCATGACTAAATCTGAGGCAGAAAAACAACAGTATAATTAACTAATGAATGGAGTTTTTGATGGAGCAGGGGTCTCTTGCAGATACTTGCCTGGCCAAAAGTATGGCCATCAGGAAAAAGAATGTCAGGCACTATTTTGAATGGTTCAGGAGGGAGGCATTGGTTAGGCTTGCAATACAGTGTGTGGTTTCAAGAGAGCAGTCTGTACGCCATTATATAAAAATTCCAATTATGCTTTATTCCTGTGAAGTGGTAGCTAAGGTTTGCTAGCCTTCTTAAAAGCTACTATAAACCAATTCTGATCTTCATAAAGTGCTGTTGCAGCTATAAGCTATATCTGAATTACTACTATTGAAATAACTAATGTTAACATTTAAGGTCTTTATAGTTGTGTAAACAAGTATCTTGATCATCTGAATTATTTTCTTCTTTACTTTAAAGACATGCACTTTGTAAAACTCCCCAAGAATTTCTTAAAGAGGAGCAACTTTTCTCAAAACAAATCTGACTGGGCTCCATAACTTGTTCGGCCTATGGCTGGATACCCAAAGAAGAAAACTAGGTTCTTCACTCAGGGACTTAAAAAGACCCTGCTCTTGTCCAAAGGGGGTGGGGAGACAACCACATCAGAGGGACCAGTGATATGACTCAGCATTTTGCAATTTGCAAACTCATATACTGGTACAGTCTTGAGAATAGGCAGAATATAAATCTACCCCCCACCCCCCTGCAATAATGATAAAGAACAATCCTGGGGGAGGAATGTTGGTTTTGTTATTAAAACTACCCAGGAGCCAGTGATTCCAATCATTCCCATTCTCTTGCCTGAAGGAAGAAGGTGCAAAGCGTTCAGCTGGGAGAGGCATGGTTGGCAGCAGGACTTCCCATCTTATTCTTCACATCTTATGCTTACCTGGGAGAAAGCTCTATTCAACCAATGGTGCTTACTTCTAAATACATACAGTCAGGACCAGAAATATTGGAACAAGGATAACTGTTTTGGCATTTGGCCTCTGTATACCACCACATTGAAGTT